GACTTCTAGCCTCTTAGACTGTGAAAGAATAAACTTCTGTTTATTAAAGCCATGCGCTTGTGGTATTTCTGTTATAGCAGCACTAGATAGCTAAGATAGGGTTTGAGCCCCAGCAATGCTTTGGGGACCATTTTGGTCAGTGCTGGGAGGTTATTCCTGCAGACAAGGCTTAACTTCATCAGCACAAAGTTACCCTGCCTCCATTCGCTCAGCCAGGCTTATTCATCTTTCAAGTCTGACCCAAGCACTCCTCAAATGAGCCTCCAGCTCATGCCGTCTTCCCTTTCTTGTAACTTAGCCTGTTCTAGTATGCTCTACCCCGTTCATCCTGACCTGTACCTGCCCTAGGAGAGCTCTGAGCCCCTCAGACATGTACTTTGGCACATAGCCAGTCACTGAATATCATTTATCCTCTTTCCTGACTTATCTTTTGATTAAACTATAAGCTCAAGGAGGGCAGGGACCTCCAGCACAGCATGTGCTTGACTGAAAACCAAACCAGTTGCCATTGAGTCAATTCTGACTCATGGCAATCCCATGTGTGTCAGAGTTGAACTGTCCTCCACAGGGTTCTCAGTGGCTGATTTTTCGGAAATGGATCACCAGGCCTTTCTTCCGAGATGCCTCTGAGTGAACTCGAACCTCCAACCTCTCAGTAAGCAGTGGACCACATTAACCATTTGCATGACCCAGAAGTTTAGTAAATACTTGTGAATGAATGTGTTCTAATGATCTTTATCTACAATTCAATTCAATAGTGAGTCCCTAGCATGGCCCGTGTCTTTAAGGAGATTACAATTTGGGGGAAAAGGCAAACAGAGACCCAGATGCCAGTTGCACCAGGCCAAAGATGATTGTGTTATAACGGAGACAGCATCAAAGGCAGACCGGTGAAAGCACACCGAGGAGGTGGCGTTTAAACGGGCCTCTGTGGGTAGCGATGGGGGAGAGGGGAGGCTGGGTCAGCTCAGGCAAAGGCACGGAGGTAGAGAATTGTAAACTGCCCGGTGTGCCTGGACTCTAAGATGGTAAAGCATGTGGTTGGGGCAGGACTGGGCAAAGTCAGTTGTGGAGAGTCTTGAACGCCAAGCAAAGGGACTTGGATTTTATCCCGAAGGCAGTGAGGAGCCATTGAAAGTTTTTGAGCAGTGGAACAACATAATCAAATGACTATTTAGGAAGATGAATCTTTCATCAGGGAAGATATGGATTGGAGCAAAAGAGGCTGGAGTTAGGAGACCATGCAGGAACCTACTGCTACCTAAAATAGAAATAATAATTGCTACATTGCCCACTTTGCATGGTTAGCCAGGAAGACGGTAAATGGGAAGGGCTTTGAAAAGTTAAATTCTCAGGAAGTGTAAGAGATGGGTTCTTTTAAGTCCCCTCTCCTGGTGGGCAAAATAGCTGGAGAGGTGCCATGGGGACTCTTCCTCCAGGGAAAGCTGGGCAGGAATTTTGACAGCTCCGAGAAACCCCGAAGAATGAGACAGAGGTTTGTGGCATCTGTTTTCTGTTGGACAAACAAACAAACAAACAAACAAAAAACCCAGAAAACAAACAAAGATCCCAGTTGCCATTGAGTCAGTTTTGACCCGCGGTGATCCCATGTGTGTAAGAGTAGAGCTGTGCTGCATAAACTTTTCAAGGGCTGATCTTTCAGAGGTAGATCCCCAGGCCTTCCTTCTGAGGCACCTCTGGGTGGATTTGAACTGCTAACCTATAGGTTAGTAGCTTAACACTTAACCGTTCGCACCACCCAGGGACACCTTTCTGTTGGACAATGACCCTGAATTACCATATCCTGTAACTCCACCAAGCTAAACTGCACATAGAATCCTATGGCTACTTTTAACCTACTTTGGCTATAAGGGGCAGGTAAAACTTGATATACCTTTATTCTCTCTCCTCATCCTTTCTTCTTCTTGCCTGGGATGGATAGAGGCAGCACAGCCTGCTGTTCCCAACCTAGGTTAACTTCCTCACCCCAAGGTGGGTGGTCCATCCATCTCAAGAAGAGATGGTGAGCTGGAGCCACTACAGATTGTGCGTATCTTTTCCCAACTCCACATTCACATTTGTAGCTTTAAATTGGGCATGATGGGAGTATTCATACCGTGCAAAGCAACAGACACCACAAATTAGGACTTCTCCACTCCCCTTTCCCAGAGCTGGTTGTTAAACATTCACCAGCACACCACTGGTTGTGCGCCCCTGCTCCCTTCTCAAAATCCTTGGATGCTCTAATGGTCAGCGGGATCATAGAGAATATGACCACTTCTCATCACCTTGTTCACGCCACCTAGCTGTCTCCCTGCTGTCTAGGGTCTCACCAGAGATGTCAGAGTGATCCTATTAAAATGTAGCTGAGAACTCTCCAAGGCTCCCACCCAGCTCAGAGTCAGAGCCTAAGTCATTACAGTAGCCTTCAAGGACCCAGTGGTCTGCCCACCTGTTACCTCTCTGAGCTTCTCTCCTACTCCCCTCCTTGCTCCCTCTGCTCTAGGCAGCCTTGAGAAACCCTAGAAAGCAGTAGGCCTGCTCTCCTCCCCGCCCCCACCACCGCCTGCACATGGCATATTCCCTCACCTCCTCCAAGCTCTTCTTCAAACGTCACTGTCTTAGTGAGGCTTTCCTTGATCTCCCTGTTTACAATGCGGTCTTTCAACATTTCCTATCCTCCTTCCTTGCTTTATTTTTTCTAAAGCATTTATCACCTCTAGCATACTCTATATGTTACATATTTTGTATATTTTCTGCCCCCTCTCAACCCTCCCTAAATCAAAGACCCCATGAAGATAAGAATTTTTGTCTGTTTTGTTCACAGCTTTATCCCCAGTGCCTAGAACAGCGCCTGGCCCGTAATAGACACTTAACAAATAGTTGTTGAATGAATAAATGAATTGCACTTTGCTCTGTTCTCTTAAGCACACCCCTTTTGCCTTTCTTACAGGTCTTGTTTTATTCCTTCTCAAATGATGACTGGTTATGTGTCTGTCTGTATCCCTTTCCTCAGCTCTTCAAAAGCAGAGACTGGCCCCTGCCAGAGATTGGTGTCCAGTAAATGCTGATACCACTGAATCTGTTACAGGGAAAGCTTAGGAAACTGCATTTGCTCAAAAGAAAGAGTTCCAACCCCAGATACCAAGCCCAGGCACTTGGGATGTGGGCAGGGAGTGATATTGCCTGTAAATCATCAGCACTTGACACACAGGAGGTCATCAACAATGTTAGCCCATATTGTTTTTAAGTTCCAGTAACCAGTCTTCAGAACTATCCTCTTTCCTGGGGCCATGGCAAGGTGACATTTTGTTCATTCATTCATGACTTATTTATTGAGTACCTATTATGTATGGTGCAGTGGTTAAGAGCTCAGCTGCTAACCAAAAGGTCAGCAGTTCGAATCCACCAGACGCTCCTGGAAAACCCTATGGGGCAGTTCTACTCTGCGCCTACAGGGTTGCTATGAGTTGGAATCAACTTGATGGCAATGGGGTAGTATATGCCAGACCACCGGGTGCTCCCCTTGGGGACATGAGTTTGGCTTGCTTTCTTGCAGGTTGAATGAGCTATTGGGAGCTCCTTGACGAATTCCTGAGTCCAGAACCCGATGCCTCCAACTCCAGATGTTCCCAGGGAGGATCTGCTTTTCCGCATCATGAAGGGAAGGCTTTCTTGGTCTCTTGTCTCACACTGAATTTAAGTTAACAATCCCACTGAGCTATGAATGGCCTTCCTGACTGCCATCGTTCCTTCCTCCAGCCTGTCCCGTACACTGGCTAGACAAAAACCAAAATCCCATTGCTGTCGAGTTCATTCCAACTCATGGTGACCCCATGTGTTACAGAGTAGAACTATTCCATAGAGTTTTCTTGGCTGTGATCTTTACGGAAGTAGATCACCAGGCTTTTCTTTTGTGGTGCTGCTGGGTGGGTTCAAACTGCCAACCTTTAAGTTAGAAGTTGAATGCAGGCTGTTTGCACCACCCAGGGACCTGAGGATAGACAGAGCTTCCTAAAGTATCAGAGCTTCCTAAACTATTACTTTCAATCTGTCACTTGCCTGCTTGAGGAACTACAAGGGCTCACCATAACTTCTATATCTGGCCTCACTCTCCCAGCCAAATGGACTTTCCATTGCTGGTCATCACCAACCCTCAGTGCCAGGTAGGCAGGTTCTCTCCCTGATCCTCTCACAATCCCTATGAATTCTTACTCTGTGTTCCTTCCATCATGCCCTCATCACTCCATTCTGGTTTTGATAGTGTACTCATTCTTTAGGGCCTTTGTCAAGGTTCACCTGGCTCTGATGCTATCCCTGACCACTTGAGCAGCACTGACCTATCCCTGTCATACTCCCTTCATATGGGGCTTCTGTAGCAAATTTAACTTGTGTTCTGTTCAGTAGCCCTCAATCTTACTTTGGTGGTGGAGAACTCTGAAGCCCAGGTGCTCTTTGGGGGACACCAAGGACTACTGATATATAAATTCCAAAGAACCAACTAGGCATTGCTTTACTTGCTGAAGATTACATTGTTTAGGATCATTAGAAACTCATGACCCTGGACCATGAAACAAATAAGCTGTCAAAGTACATGGGATTGGCCATTTTTAAAAATTGATTGGTTCATATTAATTTGTTCGTTGCTCATTCATTGTGTTGATCGAGCAGGCAAGCAGGAGTAGGTATCAATGGTTTAAGAAAATCTAATGAGGGAAATCTCTTAAATTTGGGAACATTTTATTAACCATATTTTTCTCCTGTAACTCTGGCAACACTACCATTTACTTTCTTATAGGCGAAGAAACCATCATCCAGCTTGGCAGTGTGGTGAGACTATAAACTCTGGGAGGGAAGGGATTTGGGCTGTCTTATGCACTGTTCTAGCCCAGCACTCAGCTCAGGGCCTGGCATATGGCAGGAACTGACATTGTTGTTGAATGAATGAGGGAACGAGTAACTGAATGAATGAGTTGGAGAACCACTGCTCCTGGGGTTTTAGGCTTGTTGTCCTTGTTTCCCGAGATGCCATGCTTCTTACTTTTAGAATGGATACTGAAACTTACAGGTACTCAATAAATGTTTGTTGAATGATGGATGGATGGGTGGATGGATGTCCCCTAAAGCATTTAACACTTGGTGGTAGTGATGAGGGGCACAGATGAGTGGCTTACTACCTACTCGGTCACTGATTGAATGTTAGAGGCTGAGGTAGACAAAGAAAGTCGGACCTGAGCTTACCGAGGCTGTTCAGGGGTTGATTGCTGTCAGGATCCTGTAAGTGAAGGAAGAACAGTCAGTAAAGTGGGTAAGGGAAACTCACAGGCTGGAGCTGTTTTTTGTTCCTTGTCTGCATTCTCTTCTCCCTGCTGAATCTAAGCTGGGGGTCTCTGTGATATCTAAATAATGTGTTCAAAATGAAAAATTCAGACATGCACATATTTGACCTGGTACAACTAGTTTGCTAATTGTAGCCATTAGTTTGCAATTGTAGAAATGACTGGTTGCTGGATGGTTGTGTGTATTGCTGAGTTTTTCAAGACGATTTTGCTCTACTGTCTGTTTTTGTCAATAACTTATCTATTTTTACAGACATTGTACTTCTGTAAAAACTTGAACAGACACTTCACAAAAGGACCAATAAGTACACCAAAAGATGCTCATCATCATTATTACTCATTAGGCAAATGCAAATTAAAACCACTATGAGATATCTCTACATAGACACCAGATTGGCTAAAATTAAAAAGCCTGACAATACTAAGTGTTGGTGAGGATTTGGAGCAACTAGAACTCTCACACATTGTTGCTGGGAGTGTAAATTGATACAAACACTTTGGAAAACTTCTGGCTTTAGTAGATAAACATATGACTATTCTATGATTCTATGACTGAGCAATAATTCTACTCCTAGGATATAACTAAGAGAAATTATACATCTAGGAAAAAACCTATTCATGAATGTTATAGTAGCTTCATTCATAGTCACTAAAAATTGGAATAACCCAAATGTCAATTGCTGATAGAGTGGATAAATAAATTGTGGTACATTCATATAATGGATTATAATTCATCAACAGAAAAGAATGAACTAGTGTTAAATGCAATGACATGGATGAATCTCATAGACATAATGATGAAGGAAAGAAGACAGACACAAAAGAGTTTACTCTGTATGATTCCATTTATATGAGATTTAAGAACAGGTAAAACTAATCTGTGGTGATACAAGTCAGAATAGTGGTTACTACTGTGGAGGTTGACGGGGGAATTATTGACTAGGAAGGAACGCAATGGAGCCTTCCAGAGTATTGGAAATGTTCTATATCTTGATCTGGGTGTAGGCTACATGGGTGTACATATGTGTAAAAATTCATTGAGTTGTATACTTTAAATTTGAGTACTTTACTGAATGCATGTTATACCTAAACAAACACATAAAAACAAAACCCTCCAAAACACTATGGTATTTCTGACAGTGAGGTCATAGGTCACACACATACACAAATACACACTTAGGCACTGTTCTTCCCACTCACACCACTTCATGTGTGAACTCAGTGCACACACGCCACATAAAATCAAACGCACAGGAGCTGCACACAAGGCTAACGCACAAAGCTCACACACACCCTTTCCTCCAAGGCGGAGGTTAAAGGGAGGGTGCTGCCAAGGTTCACACTCTCTGAACTCTCCCCTCACTCTCTCACGCTTGCCTCCCAGAAACCTTCCTTCTCTTTCTCAGTCTGGCAGAGAATCTGAAATCCATGGGTTGGGTGAATAGCAGGAGTGTTCAAAGCCTGGCCTGCCCGTGGTCTGGGTCCCTACCCAGGGACTTGCCTGTCCCAACTGCTGAGGTCATGACCGGCTCCCACGACAGGTGGAGGAGCCACAGAGCCTGTACATCTCCAGTTGGGAATTTTTCCAGGCCCATTTGGGAGCAAGAGTGCCTCTTCTAAACCCTGAGTGAGTGTTCCCAGATCAGATATGGGGTCTCTGGGTGTCGCGTGCCCCCGTGGCTGAGCACAGTGGACACAGTAATTGGGAGGATGGGCTCCTTCCTTTCCTCCCAAACTTGAGTCTGTACTCTACTGGAGGAGCATTGCTCTTTAGTCATCCTTCCATAGGCGGCTGTGTGGTGTAGCTGAAACAGCCAGGCTCAGGAGCCTGACAAGTTCTGCCTCCTGTTAACTGTGTGCTTTTGGTCAAGACAGTGTCCCTGGGTGGTGCAAATGGTTAACTCACTTGCCTGCTAACCGAAAACTTGGAGGTTCAAATCTACCTGGAGGCACCTCAGAAGAAAGGTCTGGAGATCTACTTCCAAAAAAATCAGCCATTGAAAACCCTGTGGAGCATGGTTCTACTCTGATACACATGGGGTCACCATGAGTCATAATTGACTCAGCAGCAATTGGTTAACTGATTTAGGCAAGACACTTAACCTCTCTGAGCTTCAAGTTTACCTTCTGTGCAATGGGGATAATAACACCTACTTCAAAGTGCTACTGTGAGGATTAAATGAGATATCTGGTGAAAGCACTTGGCTCACACATGCGAGCTCCCTGATCTCTTCCCTTCCATCCTCTGTGCTTCATAGTACTGGTCAGGTCTTCATTATAGCACTTCTCTCTTTGGGTGGTCACTGTGTCCTAGTGCCTTTGACCTTCAGTGTTTAGCCCCGGGCTTGTGCCTGGTAAAGACTCAATCAATGACTGTTAAACAATGAACTCTGGGGGCTGTACTGTAGTTCATTCCCAGCCGTCTCTCCTCCACCATCGCAAAGGCCTGGATGGGGGGACTATTTCCAGAATGAAGATGAAAATGAATTGAGTGACTGTGTTGTTGTGGCTACAGAGTCAGTTAATAATAACACCAACAACAACTCCCACAAAATTGGCATGTAACAGCTTGCAAAGTCATTTCTTCTAACTCAGTCAATTCTAGGGTGAAAAGGATTGATACCAACTGTGGACATAACACTGAACAATTAATTATTCAATTAAAGAAATACTTGTTGAGTGTCTACCTTGTGCCAGACACTGCTACAGGGGCTGTGGCTTCAAAGACAAATAATTACAGAAGGATGGAATAAGTGCCCAAACAAGACAGGCAAGGCCCTACCCTGGAGAAGCTTGCACCCTGGTGCGGGAGGACAGGTCATAAGCAGACAACCCAGAAAAGATCAGAGTGAGGAATGCTGTGCAGCAATCAAAGCAGGGGGATGGGAGAGAGCACCTGGATGGATACTTAGAGTGCGAAGTCTAGGCAAGGGGCCAGGGTGGTTAGGGAGGGCTGCTCCGAGGAGGTGATACCTGAGCTGAGAGGTGAATGACAAGAAGGAGCCAAGCAGGCCAACAGGAAGAAGCTTGGTGTGTTGGAGGAACAGAATGGAGATCAGGGTGGCTGGGGGGAAGTGAGCAAGGGGGGAGATGATAGGACATGAGGAGGGAGAGGGAGGCTGGGAGTAGAAAGATTCAATGAGTATTTTGAAGATAAAGGCAATAGTCCTCACCAATGGATTGGATACTCTTGGGTTTTTAGCAGTTAAGAGGGTGTTTGCGGAAGACGGGGGGAGGGGTAGGTTGGGGGGGTAACAAGAGCATCCATTTAGTGGAAAGATTCCTCTATCAATTGGTTCTTTTTTACTGTGTCTACCTGCACATACAGGTCTGCATTAGTTGAAGTATGTAGGAAAAGTCTCTTTGCTTATTATTAATTCAACAAATATTGATGGTACATTTTTAATGGGCCAGAATGGTGCTAGAAGCTGAGGTACAGAGGGAACAAAACAGAGATTATAGTCGGCACTGTCTGTGTCTTGGTTTCGTCATCTCTGAAGTGAAGTGGCCTCATTACTCCTTTGGCTAATACATTTTCAAATGCTATCTACTGAGTAGCGGTTGTTCAGAAAAAATTCCACACATGCTTGAAAACGAAAGCGAGAGTAATAAATTAAACCAAAACTGTAGGCTAGAATTATAGGGGCTGTGACTATCTTGTGAATTACTGTATCCCTGGGGCCTCCTACAATGCATGGCACATGTTATTATTGCTTGGTGTCATCTAGTTGATTTTTGACTCATAGTGATCCCACGTGACAGAGTGGAACTACCCCACAGGGTTTTCTGGGCTATAATTTTTATGGGAGCAGATTGCCAGGTCTTTCTCCTGCAAAGCCACTGGGTGTGTTTGAACTATCAGTTTTTCAATTAGCAGCTGAGTGCTTAACCCTTGTGCCACCAGGGCTGCTTGTATGGCACATACCCCAAAACCAAACCCATTGTTGAGTCAATTCCGACTCATAGCGATCCTGTAGTACAGAGTAGAACTGTTCCATAGTTTCCATGGAGCGGCTGGTGGATTTGAACTGCTCACCTTTTGTTTAGCAGCCGAGCTCTTTAACCACTGTGCCACCAGGGCCCTGTATGGCACATAGTAGGCATTTAATAAATATTTGTTAAATGAAAGCATTAAAGAAAATATCTCAGTTCTAGGACTCAGTCCCAGGCCAGCTAACTGTGGTATATTAAGAAGCTAACTGTGGTATATTCACACAACGGAATATTATATTACAGTCAAAACAAGTGAGCTACAGTGACACAAAATAATATGGATGACATTAGCAATTTAATACTAAGGGAAAAGAGTAAGTTCCAAAAGATGATATATAGCACATAATGCTTTTCATTTAAGAAGCAAAGGAATGATAAGCATGGGATTCAGGGCGATGCTCCCCTTGGCAGGGGGCTTCTGGCACAGTTCCTAGCCTATCAAAGATGTACTGTCAATATTTGTCAAACTAATAATAAACAAAATGTCTTGCCCACCTACCTCAGCAGGGGATGGATGTGTGTGTAAGGGAGGAAGATCTCACGGTTGGAAGTGAGTTATGGTTAAAACCTAGCTTTGGATGTGGTGTTGGGTTCATGGAGGCTTCTTACATTGTTAAAACCAACAAACTAGCTGGCTAGTTAGAAGGGGGCCCTGCATGGACCAATGATGAAAATGTGTCATGAACCAAAGGGTTATGAACAGCGCTGTGCACCTGAGGTTCAAAGAGAAAATAAAAAGGAGTTGACTTGAGGGGTCAAATGCCTGTCCTTGCAATGCTCCTGCTCTGGCTATGGTGCTGCCTAGATGCTTCCATTTAGTGGCACTTTCTTTGGCTTTTCTGGATGGCTCTTTGGCAAATATCTCTGATGCAGGGAAATCAGAGACACTGGGTAGCTAACCTTTTGGGGAGGGGAGCTGTTGAAGGTCACGGGTAGTAGGGGT